AGGCGCCTGTCCACTCGGAGGAGGAGCCTCCTCGCTGCTTTCATCAGCGCCGCCATCGAGCGCGCTCGGGACGCCGATCCCTTTGTGCGTGAGGGCATGTCCGCGCTCAGGGGGATGTTGCCCTCCTGATTGGGCCCAGACGAGCCTCGGTGGGGACACCGCCTGATTTGTTTTGAATTGTAAATATTTGGTTCCTCCTGCTTAACTCTTAGGAGTAATGATTGACTATGTAGTCAATAAAATATATTTAATTGTCAAAAATTGTCACATGTCTACACATGGTACAGGCCATGATAATCATGGTGGGTAGTTAGCGACTGTCTTTTACTGTAAGTACACCACATGTCTACACATGGTACAGGCCATGATAATCATGGTGGGTAGTTAGCGACTGTCTTTTACTGTAAGTACACCACATGTCTACACATGGTACAGGCCATGATAATCATGGTGGGTAGTTAGCGACTGTCTTTTACTGTAAGTACACCACATGTCTACACATGGTACAGTCCATGATAATCATGGTGGGTAGTTAGCGACTGTCTTTTACTGTAAGTACACCACATGTCTACACTCGGCCGTGCGGCCACGCGTCGCGCGAGCTCCGTGTTTTTCGCCTTTGGCGGGCGGTAAAATGCATTTAGGCATGTCGAGTTCGGCATCGCCAGGGAGCTCGGGATCTGCTGGACAAGAGCCTGGAAGGCCCAGCATCCCAGCTCCTACTGGTGGGAGGATTTCAAGCGAAAACGGAAATCAGAAAATCTTAAAAGAAAACTCAGAAAATCGAGTTTATGCAAATCCGCCGGCAGGCGTTAAAGATGTAAATCTGGCCGCCGCGCGTGACGTCACGCTCAACTTGCCGGCCGGTACGTCATCCAATGGCGCTGCCCGTGTCTTGGGAAGCTGGGCGGACTGCATTGAGGATTTGAGCCCCGGAGCGGAAGACGACTTTACTGTCGTGAAAACCAAGAAGAGGCGCCGCGAATCATCAAATTCGCCTACAGCCGCTGCACCATCCTCCAACAGCGGTGGCGCCAGGAGCAGTCGCCGATTGCATTCATCGGCTCGATCGGTACCCCCGGGCACAGGAGATCCCGACAACCAGGACCCATATCACAGAGGCCCGGGCGAGGCAGGCGTCCTCCTCCGAGGAGCACTGCGTCTACCTGGAACACGGCCCCGAGCTACAGCCCTTCCACTACCTGAGGGCGCTGGACAGGCTGCTTGGAGGAACCGCCGGAATTATCCAGATCTCCAAGATAAACGGCCACCAACTCCTGGGACTGGCCAACAGGGGCCTCGCCGAGCGCCTCATAAACAACGGCCTTGAGGTTGAGGGCACTCTCCTCAGGGCGTTTCCTTTCCGTAAAAGAGCGGAAAGGATAACGGTGAGCAACCTCCCCTTCTTCGTGGAGGACTCAGCCATCATCAACGCCCTTAGGCCCTTTGGGCGCATCACATCCATCGCGCCCAAAATGATGAAGGCCGGCCCGTACACCTACACCGACGGTCGCCGCGAGGCGTTCATCGTCCTTCACGAAGGAATGACAACCGAGAGGCTCCCCACCCGCCTCGACATCACCATCAAAGGCGAGGCCTGGCCCGCTTATCTCTCCACCGGCATCAAGTGTTCCAGATGCCACGGTCAGGGGCACCGCAGGGCCAACTGCCCCCTGCTTGCAGGGCTGGCCAACAACACCAGAACGGCCCCACCGACCACTCCTGCTGGCGTCCCACCACCGACCACCCCTGCACCGCCTCAGCGGTCAGCAGCCCAGCCTCCTGCGCCGACACCCTCCAATCCAGCCATGGAGGTTTGCAGCGCTCCTCCCGTGGCCCGAGCTGCGCTCCACTCATCCGCACCTCGGCCATCTCCACCAGCGGCCCCAGCCTTTCCTATGGAGGAGACGGCTCCTGCCCCTCCACCAGTGACCCCTGCTCCGTCCCTGCGAACACCTGGGAGTCGCGAGCCTGCGGCCCCAACACCGGACGTGGAGATGTCCATCGTGGAGGAGACCCTTGCGTCCTTCACTTCATCGGCAAAAAACGCAACGAGAGTCGACCTCGATGCGTTCATCGAGGGGCACCCCAGCGTGTCCTTCGCTGGGACGGACGCCCTTGGTCTTGGGCGGGAGGAGGTCCTGGACCTCCTCTCCTCGAGGACCAAGGCGCAGAGGAAGGGACCCCTCCTGTCGCCTCCGCAGTGCGACGCCCTCGTCGGCCTGATCGGGCAAATCCTGGACCTGAGACCCGGAGCAGCCAGCAACCTGTACAAGGTCCTCGGACAGGTCAAGGCCGAGCTCAGGACAACACCAGCAGTGCCTCCAACACCCACACTGCCTGCGCCTTGGCCTTCTAAGCCAACACCACCCGCTCTCCACGGGGAAAAGACGTCGCCGGACATCGCGACACCTCCACCTCCACTGTCTACCGAATTCATTGATGCCTGCTACGACCAGGCAAATGACATAATATATGAATTAAGCGATGAGCGCTACTCGGAGCCTTTATCCGATATAGGAGTCACAGAGGGTGACATCGTAGAGGCAATTATTTTCCCCGACCTCTCCTCAGGCGCCTCTCCACTCAGAAGAGAACCACTCTTGCCGGGATCGTCAGCGCTGCATCTGAGCGCGCTCGGATCCCCTTGTGCGTGAGGGCCTGCGCATACTCAGCGAAATGCTCCCCCCCCCCCCCCCCCCCCCCCCCCAATCTGTAAATCCCATTAATTCTTGATTGAATGTAACTATTGACGAGTGTCGATAAAGTATGTTTTAATTGTCAAATTGTCACATGTCTACACATGGTACAGGCCATGATAATCATGGTGGGTAGTTAGCGACTGTCTTTTACTGTAAGTACACCACATGTCTACACATGGTACAGGCCATGATAATCATGGTGGGTAGTTAGCGACTGTCTTTTACTGTAAGTACACCACATGTCTACACATGGTACAGGCCATGATAATCATGGTTGGTAGTTAGCGACTGTCTTTTACTGTAAGTACACCACATGTCTACACATGGTACAGGCCATGATAATCATGGTGGGTAGTTAGCGACTGTCTTTTACTGTAAGTACACCACATGTCTACACATGGTACAGGCCATGATAATCATGGTGGGTAGTTAGCGACTGTCTTTTACTGTAAGTACACCACATGTCTACACATGGTACAGGCCATGATAATCATGGTTGGTAATAGGTAGTGACTGCTTTTACTGTAATCACACTACATTTCTACATATGTACACTCATGAACGTAACTACAACATGGACGGAAAGTGGAAAGTCTTTGATGTCGGAGGTTTTTTTTAAGGGGACAGAGGTGGTTCACACTTGGTTATCTCGTGTGTCTTCAATAAAGGTCATTGTAATATCTTTCAGAGTTATTGTCTGAATCCCGATATACATGCTAAAAGGTACAACTTCTTCCTTAAGTTTTGTCCATGAGTGTATACACACTTGGTTATCTCTTGTGTTTTAAATAAAGGTTACTGTAATATCTTTCAGAGTTATTGTCTGAATCCCGATATACATGCTGAAAGGTACAACTTCCTTAAGTTTTGTCCATGAGTGTATACACACTTGGTTATCTCGTGTGTCTTCAATAAAGGTCACTGTAATATCTTTCAGAGTTATTGTCTGAATCCCGATATACATGCTGAAAGGTACAACTTCCTTAAGTTTTGTCCATGAGTGTATACACACTTGGTTATCTCGTGTGTCTTCAATAAAGGTCACTGTAATATCTTTCAGAGTTATTGTCTCAATCCCGATATACATGCTGAAAGGTACTACTTCCTTAAGTTTTGTCCATGAGTGTATACACACTTGGTTATCTCGTGTGTCTTCAATAAAGGTCACTGTAATATCTTTCAGAGTTATTGTCTGAATCCCGATATACATGCTGAAAGGTACAACTTCCTTAAGTTTTGTCCATGAGTGTATACACACTTGGTTATCTCGTGTGTCTTCAATAAAGGTTACTGTAATATCTTTCAGAGTTATTGTCTGAATCCCGATATACATGCTGAAAGGTACAACTTCCTTAAGTACTGTCCATGAGTGTATACACACTTGGTTATCTCGTGTGTCTTCAATAAAGGTTACTGTAATATCTTTCAGAGTTATTGTCTGAATCCCGATATACATGCTGAAAGGTACAACTTCCTTAAGTTTTGTCCATGAGTGTATACACACTTGGTTATCTCGTGTGTCTTCAATAAAGGTTACTGTAATATCTTTCAGAGTTATTGTCTCAATCCCGATATACATGCTGAAAGGTACAACTTCCTTAAGTACTGTCCATGAGTGTATACACACTTGGTTATCTCGTGTGTCTTCAATAAAGGTCACTGTAATATCTTTCAGAGTTATTGTCTCAATCCCGATATACATGCTGAAAGGTACAACTTCCTTAAGTACTGTCCATGAGTGTATACACACTTGGTTATCTCGTGTGTCTTCAATAAAAGCTAAGCTAATCACGTACGCGTTTCGGGCTGTTACCCCTCGTCAGAGTGGTGCAAGCTGTACCTAATGGCCCAAAAAAAATGGATGCCTGATTGACAAATTTATTTTTGGTCGTTGAGGTACAGCTTGCACCAGGCTGATGAGGGCCAACAGCCCGAAACATGTACGTGGTTAGTTTTTCTTGATTAAACAAGAATGGGTATTTGGCCAATTCTGCAATTTAAAAAAAAAATCAACGAATTGTTTATATTTATTCCAACAGATGGCGCAAGCCATCAGCAACTTTTAATTACAAGAAAAGGAGATATCTTTTTCTTAAAGACATCATACATATATATATATATATATATATATATATATATATATATGTAAAACAACACTTGAAGTTACACCGCATGAGTTTCTTTTCAATGAAAAATCAAAATTTATTTCAAGGTGAAATATTGGCTATTTCTAACCTTTTTGGATGAGGTATGAAAGGGTGAATTATGAAGAGCAATGATGAACGGAAAAATAAAAGTGTCCAGGGATGGGAATCGAACCCACAATGTTCCGCTTACCGGGCAGATGCCATGTCCACTAGGGCTACCCTGGAAGTATTTTCCAATCTCTCTAATCCAAAAAGGTTAGAAATAGTCAATATTTCACCTTGAAATACATTTTGATTTTTCATTGAAAAGAAACTCATGCGGTGTAACTTCAAGTGTTGTTTTACAATCACAAGCCGCAGTGTATCATATAATATATATATGTGTTGTATATGTATATAGGTGTTTTATATATGTAAATATGTCATACATAAGAAATATAATCCTCTGTGTCAATTAGATTAATCAAATATGTCTTTATATAAAAACTTATCAACGGAGTTTATATTTGATCAATCTAATAGATTTGTGTGTGTGTGTGTGTGTTATATACACTGGTCCGCAAAATTAAAGGAACAACATTTTTTTTCCTTTATCACAAATTTTATTGAACATTTATCAATGAAACTTTATACACAAATTTATTATTCCATTATTGATTAGAATACCCAAAATCAAAGAATTCTAACACGTATTTTATGCAAATTAGCCGGTCAAGCAATGATCTTCTTGCAGTCAGTGTATAAATATCTTGGATATTGTTGTTAATATGGGGTGTGATCGCCTTTAACTGATAGACAGGCTCTACATCGGCGACCCATACTAAGAATTAGGGAGTTTATGAGCTCCTGTGGAATCAACGCCCACTCTTGTGTTAAGGCTGTTTCTAGCTCATGAGTGTTTCTAGGAGGGGGTTGGAGGGATGAGATTCGCCGTCCTAGTTTGTCCCATACATGCTCAATGGGATTTAGGTCTGGAGATCGAGCTGGCCAATTCATCCGAGCAATTGCATGGTTTTAGAGAAAAGTGTCGACCACACCAGCCCTATGTGGACGGGCATTATCATCCATTATAAGAAGGTTTTCTACCATTTCTAATGATTGAGGCATCACATGTGCTGCCAAGATTTCGTCCCGATACCTCTGTCCAGTCAGGGTTCCTTGCCGAAAAATGTGGAGTGCTGTGTGACCGCCCAAGAAGATTCCAGCCCAGACCATAAAACATTGGCTTCTGTAGGGATCCCTTTCAACCATATTTCGGGGATTATTTCTGGTTCCTACCTCTCTCCAGACAAAGACACGACGATAATAGCTGTTTAGAGAGAATCTGGACTCATCAGTGAACATTACATGGCTCCATTCATCTGGATTCCAAGCGACATGTTGTCTGCGCCAAAGTTCCCTTGCTCTCTTTTGAGGTGGTGTCAACGGCACACAAATTATGGGTCGTCGAGCATAGAGGCCCTCCATGTGAACCTTCTGCGTATTGTATCAGTTGAAATAGGAGAAAACTTTCTTCTAATGGATGATAATGCCCGTCCACATAGGGCTGATGTGGTCGACACTTTTCTCCAAAACCATGCAATTGCTCGGATGAATTGGCCAGCTCGATCTCCAGACCTAAATCCCATTGAGCATGTATAGAACAATCTAGCACGACGGATCTCATCCCTCCAACTCCCTCCTAGAAACACTCATGAGCTAGAAACACACTTTAAAAAAGAGTGGGCGTTGATTCCACAGGAGCTGATAAACTCCCTAATTCTTAGTATGGGTCGCCGATGTAGAGCCTGTCTATCAGTTAAAGGCGATCACACCCCATATTAACAACAATATCCAAGATATTTATACACTGACTGCAAGAAGATCATTGTTTGACCGGCTAATTTGCATAAAATACGTGTTCGATTTCTTTGATTTCGGGTATTTTAATCAATAATGAAATAATAAATTTGTATATAAAATTTCATTGATAAATTTTCAATAAAATTTGAGATATATATGGAAAAAATATGCTGTTCCTTTAATTTTGCGGGCCAGTGTATATAGGTATAATGTGTTGAGTTACTGTTGACTCTTGTAGAATCTTGTAGACTAAAAATGTGATGAAGTATCCAGTCGACTTATAAACTATGGTGTGAGTCCTTGTCAACTCTCGCTATACTGTGTTGACCGAGAGGAACAGTCAGGATGTGGAGTTTTCCAGTACCTCTCTGCACCTTGGAAGACCTTTAAAAGTTCTCACAAAATACAGGCAGTCGTGGTCGAGGCAGAGTGGAAAGAAGAAGACACAGTTGCACTAAGAAAGTTCCGTGAACAGATAAAAGTTGAGCTAGGAGCGAAAGATGGAGAGATAGAAGATTTCTTACTGGTCTACATGATGGATGAGATGGACCTGGGGTACAACCTACGAGGGCTCGCGCAGATGGTAAACTGACTGTCAAGTGACTGTATTTTTGGCTAAAGACGGGGTCTTTATATACCTTTTCTGAGAAAGGGGGTGTTGCATTTCAACAGATGTGAAGAGCGTGGGTCGTCTGGCGAAAATTCTAAACTGTACACTGGCGCCGTGGCCGTTTCCATATTTAGACTTTGTTGTTTTGGGAATACTATATGCTCGATCTCTGCGTTAGCTCAACTCTTAATCTATTACAGAGTTTTATTTATTTGTCCTCAGTTTGTACAAAGTACATTACATATGATGATGTAATGACACATGTCAATCATGCGTATAATCATTTACAGATGTGTTTCTATAAACAACATGAAAATATTGTTATAAGTTATATACAATATGGGGTTGTTGGTTTAAATTACCATATATATAGGTTATATATATGTATATTATATAATTTAAAAACTCAAATATTTCTATATTTTAAAAAATATATATTTTATTTTATTCATTGATAATTTTACTTTTGTTATCATCGTTTTTAGAAAGACTTTCAGTTTTGTTGTAAATATGCGTAGTTAATATATCTATCCATTTAAATCACTAAAATAGGATTAACTTTATAAATTCTATATAATGTGAAAATAACTAATGTGTAATATTTCCTCAAGTAATTGAAAATAAAAGCTACTTGACGGTAAATAATTATATTTTTTTTTATCACGACTGCACCTTAACCCTTTATCTTATCGATCCTTTGTCTTATCAAGCCTTATCTAACAACAACAACAAAATATTCATAACATATATATATATATCTAACAATTTATCCTTTTATACCTTCTTATTTTTATTCCTGTTGAAGATGAGAAATACTCGAAAGCTTGTAGAAATAAATAAAAATCCTACAAGAAATTCTTCGATTTATGATTTTATTCTTTTGATAAAATACGATAGGACAATGCTCTGTAGAATGTTTGTAGAGATGTGTCTACTGAAGTAGGTAGACACCTTATGTGTAGTGTGCCAAGTTATTGTCGTAGACTGGGTATCAACATGGTGTTGTTTTGACATTACATAACCAGAAAGAACGTGAAGAATCTGTTATGTAATATAGAAAACTTCCTAGTTAACTAATATCAATACCCAAAGGTACTGTACATCCTGTGGTTGTAGGAATAACAATGAAACATAGAACAACCTCGGTGAGAGGACACCTCTCTACAAAGGACACTTTGGCTCTGTAACTAGGTGTTGTCAGAGAGGTAGTTCTACTGTATTTAGCAACTCTCCGGTAAGAGGACAACTCTCTCTAAAGGACACTTTGGTTCTGTAACTAGGTGTTGTCCTTTACAGAGAGGTAGTTCTACTGTATTTAGCAACTCTCCAGTAACAGGACACCTCTCCCTAAAGTACACTTTAGTTCTGTAACTAGGTGTTGTTCTTTACAGAGAGGTAGTTATACTGTATAGATTTACAAATTTTAAAATATTTTAATAAAAATTTCGTCAAAAAAATAAGCAAAAGAAGAATCCGCACAGGTGAAAAAAGTTATTTTTCCCTGTTTTCAACAATTTACAAAAACAAAACACAGGCCACAAACAACTACGCTACAGTAACATCTACCAAATTGGTCACTTAGATGACTGGGCTGTTTTCCAAACGACGTGCTGTTGCATAGCGGCGTCAGATGGAGATATGCAAATTTGTTCCCGGGCTCGTCTGTCAAGTTGCATAATCCACCACGCTATTTGTGAACAAGGAAATACAAAACTTTTTTACACCGCCATTTTTTTATGTTCTAAACAACAATCACCATCATTAGGGGAATGTTGAAAAATAGGTTGCAATGTTTCCTTTTCTGGGATCCCTTCTGTCTATATAGATGTCTTCTGTTAGAACTAATATGTAAATTTTATTTGGAAAAAGTTGCATAACTATTATTTTCCGATTCTTTCAGACACCAACCAAAAATATTGCCTTTACTTTATGTTGAATTAGGAGACATCTTTTCTGTTGATATGGCGTTTCTTCCGTTAACACTAATATGTAAATTTTATTTGGAAAAAGTTGCATAACGTTCTATCATTTTTCGATTATTTCAGACACCAACCAAAAATATTGCCATGACTATGTTGAATTAGGAGAAATATTTTCTGTCTATATAGATGTCTTCTGATAGAAACTAATATGTAAATTTTATTTGGAAAAAGTTGCATAACTCCATTATATTTCGATTCTTTCAGACACCAACCAGAAATATTAACATAATCTTATATTGAGATAAGAGAAAGTTTTTCTTATATAGCAAAAATATCTTTATTTTTAAAAAAAGGTCGAATATTAATATATCCCTATATATATAAAAGTCGGTATATGTATGTATGTGGGTATCTATGTAGGCTATACACGTCCACAATACATAACTAATCTGACTGAAATTTTAACAGTATATAGAGTAGAATCTGGAAAGCCTTATAGTGAAAATTTCGGGTCTTTATCCCGAATATTCTTCTAGTTATTTGCAAATTGCGTTGCAATTTTGCCTTTTCTCTCGCAAGCAGCGCCTCTAGCGGTGAAGATGGGAAGTAATACCAGCTGACCTAATGTACATGTAAAACGTGTTTTGACAGGACATAGAGAAAAATCTGGAAAATATATTTATCTGATTTTTGGCCAATAAAAAATAAAATTGACAGGCTCTGGATAAAAATAGTTGTTTTTTTTAGTCAGAAAAGGATGATGACAATATTGCTGTATCATGTTTGATCATCAGAAACAAAATTATTTCGGGAAAAATTCCAAAAAGCTGAGACCACGGGTGAAGCCAGTT